CCCGGCGCGATTGTGGCCTCGACAAAGGGGCGGGCCCCGCGCTCCGGACCCCAACCTGGCGGCCCGACCAGCCCCCGCGGCTCTCGAGGCCGGGGCTTCTGGAAGCTTCGGGCGGGGGCGGGGCGCTCACCTCTCGCTGCTGCGGCCGCCGCGGCTATGTAGACTAAGAAGCGGCATGGCGTGGCTGGCGTGAATGGTGGCACTAGGTTTATCCCCTTCCTTCTCTCTGGCGAAGCAGTGGCTGTTGAGGATCCGCTGCAGGGAGGATTTCACCATCCGGCCGCTGGGGTCCGAAACCAGGAAAACCTCCGCTGCGCCCTCCGCGCCGCCGCCGCTGCTCGCCGTTCGCAAAATGGCGCCGTCGCCGCCGCCCACTTTTATAGACGCCCTGCTTAGGCCACGCCCCCCACGCCGCCGCGAACGCGGCCGCCCCAGGGGCGGAGCCGCAGTGGCCGCCGGGAGAACTAGGTGCGTCCGTCCCTTCTGATGTCTGATTGGTGAAACGTTAGGCGTCAAGGCAAATACGTACTGTCTATTGGTCTATGTGCTCCTGATCCCGCCTCTTCTTGCTGGCGTCATCCTGCGGGACCGTGGTGGACCTCGCCTCCGTCGTGCCGGAAGCGCGCCGCGTGCGCCCCGCCCCCCCGCCTGCACTTGGGGTGGGGGTGTCGCTGTTTGCGATGTTTATTTCATGGTCGGCTCGCCCTATATAAGTCACTTGGCCAATGGGACTTCCCCTCCCTAAGAGTCTTCGGGCGACGAAAGTGTTGGAGGAGGGCAAGGAGCCCATGGGACAAAATTACTTTCAGTAATGACTTTATAATATCAGTAATTATTGTGTTCTTGGTTCGGTCTTCAATGTGAAAACAACTTGCAGTTTTAAAAAACTTTCACTGTTAAAGATACATCTAGAGCCGGGCGTGGTGGTGCACGCCTGTAATCCCAGCACTGGGGAGGCTGAGGTAGGAGGATCGTTGGGAGTTCAAGACCAGCCTGGGCTACAAATTGGGCTCAAGGCCAGCCTGAACTGCATAGTGAGACCCTGTCGCAAAGAGACAAAAAAAAAAAAGGCAAAATAAAAACAAAACAAAAAGATACTCACATCCAGTAAAATGTTTCATTTAAAATTGGACCTAGTGAAAATTTTCCTTCTTGCAGATAAATTCAGATAAATTTTGCGGCCGGGAGTGGTGGTCCATGCCTGTAATCACAGCACTCAGAAGACTAAAGCAGGAGGATCTTTGTGAGTTCGAGACCAGCCTGGATTACAAAGTGAGCCCAGCACCAGCCTGAACTGTATAGCGAGACCCTGTCTCAAAAAGACAAAAAAAAGGGGGTGGTGAGCTGGGGATTTAGCTCAGCAGCACAGCACCTGCCTGGCAAGCGCGAGGTTGTGAGTTTGATTCCCGGTACCAGAACAAAACAAAAGATAAATTTTGCATGTGTAAGGACTGTAGTTTGCTCCAAGGAAAATTAAAATTCACAAACATTTTCTGCCGGATATGGTGCACCCTGTAATTCCAGCACTCTGGGAGGCTGAGGCAGGAGGATCTCAAATCGAAGCCCAGCTCATCTTTAAATAAAAAGGGGTGGGGAGGGCTGGGGATATATCGCAGCGGCACAAGCGCCTGCCTAGCAAGCACAAGGTCATGAGTTCGATTCCCGGTACCCCCCCCCAGCAAAAAAAAAAAAAGGGCTGAGCATGTAGCTCAGTGTGAAAGTCCTGGGTTCAGTCTCCGTTTTTTAAAATTCCTTTTGTGGCTAAACCCAACAGAGTACTTCTTGTATGATCTATGGTTCAATTTTTTGTTTTTTGTTCTTTTTGACACAGGGTCTCACTATGCAGTTGAAGCTGGCCTTGAGCTCATTTTGTAGCCCAAGCTGGCCTTAAACTCGTGGCAATCCTCCTGCCTCAGCCTCCTGAGTGCTGGCATTACAGGCGTGTGCCACCACGCCCGGCTATGATTCAGATTTAAGCAAAACATTTTACGTTTTGAGCTGGGCATGGTGGCACACCCCTGTAATCGCAGCACCCGGGAGGCCAACCTGAACTGCATAGTGAAACCCTATCTCACAGGGCTGTAGATATAGCTCAGCAGCACAAATGCCTGTGTGGCAAGTGCAAGATCCTGAGTCTGATTCCCAGTACCAAAAAAAAAAAAAGAAAAAAGAAAAAAAGAAAGAAAGCCTATCTCAAAAAAAAACCAAAAATGTCAGGAATTTAGCTCAATGGTACAGTGCCTGCCTGGCAAGCATGAGGTCATGAGTTCAATTCCCAGTACCAAAAAATAAAAATAAAAAAGACCAAAAAACATGTATTTCCTGGTAAATTCAGAAACACATGTTTCATATACGAACTGCAACATGCACTCAATGAGCAAAGATAGAACTTGCAGTTAAATATAGGAACATACTTTGTGTATAGACTAAAATTTGAATTTACCAGGCAAACATATTGTACCTCAGAGTTAAATTGAGTAGAGCTCATTTTTTATGTATGAACTAAAATTTGTGTTTCCCAGGGAAGCTCTGTCTGCCGGTCCTGCTGTGTTTTGAGGGGCAGAACGCAACCATGCTAAGCAGAAGCATCACTGCTGAGCTACTCCCCAGCCCACTCCGGAGCTTTGCTACTTTTTGTTTGTTCTGATGTTCTGGTACTGGAGATGGAACCCGGCCCTTCACACAGAGCTATGCCCCCTGCCCTTTTATGCATTTTTTTATTTTGAAACAGTATCTCCCTAGGCCGCTGAGTTGCCCAGGCCTGAGTGCACTTGCAATCCTCCTGCCCTGGTCTCCGCAGATGGCTTTTTACTTAGCATTAGATGGTCTCTGATTTGTGCGCAGAGAACACACCCATCTATTCAGAGCATCGGTTTCCAACTGCTCACCGCACAGAGAGCCCAAGGTGAGCTCTTTTTTTTCTTTCGGTCCCAGGAATCGAACCCATGACCTCAGGCTTGCCAGGCGAGCACTTATGCCACTGAGCTATATCCCTGGCCCTGGAGGTACTGACTTGGAGTAGGGTTAGTACCTTCGTGGTTATTTAGACCTGTGTTCAGGCCGGCCCTTTGCTTCTCTTTTGTGATGCTGGGATGGAACCCAGGGTCTGGAGCAAATGAGGCAGGTGCTCCCCACAGAGCCACAGCCCCAGATTCGGAAATCTGTTTTCTGACCTCTGGTCAGCTTCCCAGGGCATGCAGCTGGACAATTCCGGGCCAGGCGTGTAGAATTGGGCCCTGCCAGCGGCGGGCCCTGGGCGCTAGGGCACAGTGCAACGCAGTTCCGTTCCCAGGACTCAGGCCCGAAAGTGACTGTGGTCACGAGTGACCCCGCACGGAGGTATCGCGGCTGCCTGGCTTTGCAGCGCTTGGCCAGGCTGAGGAATGGCACTGGGGAACCTGCCAAGGCTTGTGCCAATTACAGGGGACCCTAGAAACCTCCAGAAAGACGCTGGGTGGGGAGGATTTCTTCCTTGGCACACCTTGCACCCTTGCTGGCCAAAACAGGCTTCCATCTGTGGGTGGAAAGAAAGAATTTTCACCGGTAACTTCGTGAAAACAAGCCAAGCTTGGGGGCGTGGCTCAGTGGGCAGCACTTGCATGGCACACACAAGGTCCTGGGTTCCATCCCAGGCATGGTGGCGCATGCCTGTCATTTCAGCACTTGGGAGGCTGAGGCAGGAGGATCACTGCTAGTTCAAAGCCAGCCTGGGCTACATAGTGAGTTCAAGCCCAGCCTGAAACACACAGCGGGACCTTGTCCCCAAAAAAACAAAACGAAAAATGACAGAGCAGCCTGCAGGCAAGTGGGGGCTGCAGCAAGTGTTAGGGTGGACATGGCTCAGAGGACTAAGGGATCTTAGCTCCTGTGACCCACACAGGGAGCGGGCCGTGCTTCAGGGGACAGTTTTCTCTGCCGAGGACGCATTCCCTAATATTGGGGGACTAGAGGCCCCAGCGACCCTATGAGAAAAAGGCGGCACTCCTGCTCTGCTTGCGGCCACCCCAGGACTGTCCCGGAGGCAGAATCCAAAACACTTTTTATTCCTTGAAGTGCTGAGAGCTGGGGACTCGTGCGAGGCAAGGGAGCCACAGGCAACAGAGAGGGAGAGCAGGGACGGCTTCCTGGAGGCAACGAGGGGTGAGTGCTGGGAAGGGACAGCAGAAGACATGGGACAAGAAGGGCAACAGTGGAGGGCCCATGCCAGGATCCCCCTCCAAAATCAGATGATATATACTCGTCATCCCAGCTGCTCTGGAGGCAGAGGCAGGAGGATCTCAAGTTTGAAGACAGCCCTATCATATTGTTTTTAATTGTTTCTAAAGTCTGGGATGTAGCACAGTGTGCAGAGGCCTGGGTTCAGTCCCCGGTACCAAGAGACAGAGGGCGAAGGAGAGAAGATCTGTGGATTGTGTGTGTGGGCAGGTGAACAATGACGCCACAGGTCCACATCTTGTGGTGGACTGACAACTCGTGGCCAGTTTGTAACCCCAGCTGAACTGAGTCAGCGTCACGCCAGGTGTGAGGCCCACCTGAGGACTGCTGCCAGCAGCGTAAGAGGAGAACTGGAGAGGAAGAGGTGCCATGTCGGTTCTCCTGGAGGAGCTGGTCGCGCTGGCTTTCCTGATATGAACTCTGCTGTTCTCACCGCTGCTGAGGATGGCTGTGGTACCTTTCAGGGGAGCTCTGGTCCCTACTTTGAGCGTCGCTTCCTGGCTCCAGTGCAGATCCCTCAGCCTGCTGGCAGGGACTTTCTAGCTTCCACCACGGACCTTTGGGCCTTCCCAGAGCAGCTCTGTGAAACAGGCCTGCATGAGACATTGTCACGGGCTCTGGGTCTTCAGCGGGACTCATGCAGGACGCTGCCTTGGGACCCACGCCCTCAGCTGGATTCTTTCATCTTTAGTGTGTGGGCAGATCTCCTGCACTCTTTTGTATTTGACTCTTTGGGTGACTTATTTATAAAATAATCTTATAAATTATGTGTCCTGTATTAAATTGTTTCCCTTCCAAACCCTGACTACCACACACCCTAATCCTCAGAATTTAAGAACATGTAAGTTCTGGTGACAGAAGGGACCCTGCCGGTGCGCTAAATGAAGAACCCTGAGAGGGGGTCACCTCGACCCCCGGGGCCCAGGTCCCCCTGAGCGGGAGCGGGAGGGTGAGACACTGACAGAGGCTAAAGATGCGGCGCGGCTGGCTCTGCAGGTAGACAAAGGGGCCATGAGCCGAGGGCTGCAGTTGCCCCTAGGAGCCAGAACGGGGACCCGGTTTCTCGCTGGAGCCTGGGGAGGGGCAGCCCTGCTACCCAGCCTGGAATCAGCCCAGGAGGCTGTTTTGGGCTCAGGTCCCAGGGTTGAGGGAGAATAAA